TCTCTCTCTCTCTCTCTCTCTCTCTCTCTCTCTCTCTCTCTCTCTCTCTCTCTCTCTCTCTCTCTCCCACGTGAATTTGGGGGTTGCCTGTGGATTTGTCCACCTCTGTGGTTCCTGATGAGCTCCTGTGCCTGTGGAAGAACCCACCGTTGTTGACAGAATTTGGGGTGGGACCAGGAGGCAGGACTTCACTGTTTTTATCTTCTAAAGAAGCTGACACCGAACTAATTGCGTTGGGGATTGTCAGCATGAGCGGGATGGTAATGCTTGTTGACGTTTTGGATTACGCTTAAGTGCAGCGGTTTGGTTCTCGCTTCTCGGTATTCTTGGGACTGCTTGGATAATGTCTATACCTGTGTGGAAGAACCCTAGTCGCCAGAATGTGGGATGGACAGGAGCCAGGACTTCAGTTTTTTTTTTTTTTCTCTTCTGAGTTCTAAGTCAAGGAATGGTTACGTAACTTACTGGTGTTTCAATGGCAACCTCTGAACAGAGATCTGTGAAATGACCCGCACCGTTTCAGTCTGAGGTTTCTGCGGTTTCCTGCGGAAGTTTCTGCTGTTTCCAGCAAAAGTTTCTGCCGTTGATCTGTACGCTGAGGTTCTGAGTGTTAACTTTTTAAGTATGTTTTGCGGTGTTTTCGGAGTCTGTGTGACCGTAGGATGATGTCTGTATGCTCGTGTGCTTGTCTGTTTGCCTGCTTCCTGTGTTCCCTGTTCTGACCAAGCTTAACTCTGAGTTGAGCTCGTGTGTTTGTCTGTTTGCCTGATTTGCTGTGATTTCCGCGTTCGAGTCTGTTTTGTTGTGTGACCTGTTCTGAGCAAGCTTAACTCTGTTCCGAGTTCGAGTCTGTTTAGCTGTGTAACCTGCTCTGACCAAGCTTAACTCTGTTCTGAGTTTGAGTCTGTTTTGCTGTGTCACCTTTTCTGAACTTTTCTGACCAAGCTTAACTCTGTGCCGAGTTCGAGTCTGTTTCGCTGTGCTACCTGTTCTGACCAAGCTTAAGTCCGTTTCTTGTTTGAGTCTGTTTTGCTGTGCTACCTGTTCTGACCAAGCTTAAGTCCGTTTCTTGTTTGAGTCTGTTTTGCTGTGTTGCCTGTTCTGACCAAGCTTAACTCCGTTCTCGTGCTATGTTTTTGTGTCTCCGGAGGGGTAGAACGGTACAGGTATAGCGACAAGGGTAGGGCTGAAATTGGACGGTGGATGGACTTGGAAGAATATAGGATGGACAAGGACAAAAGCAGAATTTGCGAGGTACCCCAGTAGGATTTTCCAGCAACTTGGGCAGGCCTAGAAAATTCTGGTAGACTTAGAAGGGCGGCATCTTCCGAAGAGGTCACGACTGTCCAGATCCCGATTGTAGGTAGATATTTGGTCAGGTTTGTTCAGGCCCTTGAAAGGGGGTTTCACATGGCAATTATGATGTCTCCACCAAGAGGCAGGAATGTGTGGTCAGCCTCGTGCACTGGTAGAGGCTGAATTGTGAAGGTCGGGAGTCCTTAATAGGGCCTTGCTCCGCTACACATCACTCTAAATGTGTCTGGACATGGCCATAGTCCTCATGCATTCGAGTGTCGTGTAGTGAAGCGAGGTCCTATATCAATCAGTGGAATTTAGCAAGCTGGCACATTCCACTGGCAGTCATGCTGCTGCTCCACCCTGAGCGTGAGTAAGGCGGAGCACCGGGGCTGAAGCGTTGGAGCTGGAGGGTGCCGAGGGAGACCTCCATGGCCATGGCGTCGTAGAAGAAGAAGGGTGTAAGGCTCGGCTATGGAGGAAGGTAGGGAAAAAGAGTAGAGGTTGTGGGAGAGGAAGGAGGAGCGAACCGGCATGAGAGACTTACCTTTGGCTATGGTGAACCTTCATCTCGACTTCCTTGATTCGCAATGCATCTAGAAGATGCCAATTGGGGTACTGGTTGGTCTTGGACTTCTTGCATGCGACTGTAGCTATGGCGGTATGAGATGGGAGAGGCACAGTAGCCGCAATGTCCTTTGAACATCCGTGGTACACATCGGTGCACCACCATAGCCACAATGCAACCGAGAGGGGAGGAGTGAGAGTGAGGCTGACAAGTAGAGCGTTTTGAACACTGGCAGGAAGGGGCTAATAATCGGACATTGATTCTTGTTCATTCATTCATTTGTTCTTGTAATTTACTCATTTTTAACTAATTTGTTATTTATAAGAGGAGGAGGACATGAGGCCAGAAGATGAACTTGGTGACGGCCAGAAGGGACAGCGACGAGATTGGTTCAAACTTGTGTATGTCCTCTTCTTCTTCTTTCCTCCCACAATCCTTTCCACTCTTTGTCCTTTTCCCCTTGTTTGGGTAAAAAAAAAAAAAAGCCGAGGGCTTGAGATATCAGCATCGAATTGACCAGCCCTAGGTAATTCAGAATTGTAGTACTTCATTCATCTGAATCCAATGGAGTTTGAACTTGGGCCTGTATTTTAACAGTTCTGGGGAGTACCAACTGAGCTAGGCCAGTTGGTACCTTTCTTCCCTTCTTCATTCTATTTCTTTCTTTTTTTGGCTTGAGTGAGTAAGCTTGCACTGCCTCAAAGTTGAGTTCTGCATTATGAATGGGGCTGGACCATAACATGTGAAAGAGAAAAAAAGGGAAAAAGAAAGGAAAGGGCTGCATATACCTCCGTCCTCCTTGTCATGTGGGTGGTTGGGGAAGGGAGAGAGAGAGAGCTGTCTCTTATACACATCTAGATGTGTATAAGAGACAGCACACACACACACACACACACACACACACACACAAAGGGGGTCCGGAGGGGGGTCCGAATTCCCCTGACAGGTGAGTGCGCTGGGGGGGCCCGGACCCCAACTGGGTGCCCTGCCCGGTCAGGCCGCCCAGGACCTCCCCCGGGCCCCTGCCAGTCACCCGGGCGGCCCGGATCCCCACTCAGTTTTTTTCCCACTCGGTAGAATCCCATCAGTGGCTTGTATCCATATTACTTCACTGTTGTAGTGGGGGAGACGCGAGGGGGGGGGGGGGAGGGGGATGACAAATGCCATTTGCTCTCTGATTCTTACTTCGAAGCTGGAAGAGAGTGTGTGGTCGGTGAATAGGTGGAGCTGCTCGTCACAACGGCAAGAGAGTGCTCTGTTTTTTTACAAGTTTTTCGGTATATGGTATTACATCCGGTCGTGGTGGACAAGGGGTATGCATGGTAGCGATGGCGGCCGCATTTCCCCCAGCAGCTGTGGAAGGCAGGGACACCATAAGGGAGCTGTTCAGCAAACTAGTCGTTTGCATCATTGACGTGGACACCCAATCAGAGAACTTCAAGATTGCTATGCAAACTACTGTCTGGGAAACGTTCGCCATCACAATCTCCTCGATGCCAATTCCGCAAACATTGAGAAGTTGTATCAAGCTCTGTAGCATAGGTTAGAGATAAACAGCCAGCTAGCAAGGGCTGCCAAAATCAAAGCACTGGTGAAGAGGTTCATTGATTTGCAGATTCATTACATCTATCCAGATATCAATCATAGCATCTTGTCATTGCGATACTGTCTTTCGGAATCGCCCAACAATGTGCCAAATTCTCTAGACCAGGAATGTCCACTTTGGAAGCAGCAGGAGGAGGGTTGTCAAGGCGATGAAGAAGGTGGCAGCGATGGCGGAGAGGAGGACGAGGACAGTGATGATGATTACAGCCAGTGGCGTTCTTCTTCTTCATCTCCGGCTTATACTGATTCTGCCATGGACAGTGATTCGGGCGCTGAGATGGAAAACACCAACGCTGAGGAAGGCCTACTTACTACCACCAAGGATTGTGGAAACAGGTTAGACACGCAGAAGCACAGCGGTACAACAGTTGTTGTTGCCACACAGGTGCAGGCCTTTGATTGGAAAAATCTTCATATCTCGTTCTTCGACAGCAATTGCAGTTTCTTTGATGAGGCCGGCGATGAAGAGGAGACGTGTTCTCAATGGGATTACTACTCTAGCGGCGAAGATGATGATGATGAATTGGAGGATGGTACCTTTACTCCATGATCATCGCACAAAGGACAGAGGGACTGCCGTTTGCAATACTTACTACCACCAAGGAATGTGGAAACAGGTTAGACACCCAGAAGCACAGTGGTACAACAGTTGTTGTTGCCACACAGGTGCAGGCCTTTGATTGGAAAAATCTTCATAACTCATTCTTCGACAGCAATTGCTGTTTCTTTGATGAGGCCGGCGATGAAGAGGAGACGTGTTCTCAACGGGATTACTACTCTAGCGGCGAAGATGATGATGATGAATTGGAGGATGGTACCTTTATTCCATGATCATCGCACAAAGGACAGAGGGACTGCCGTTTGCAATCCCTCATTCTTCCTTGAGGACGACCGAAGCAGCCCTTGTGCGCCATGTGCTACACATGATGCACAGCTTACCAGGCGATATATTCTTATGGGACCAGCAAAGCTACAAATTTTACAGAAAGTCTGGGCTGCATGTTTCCCATCTTTCCCCTCCAGTTTGCACCACCTGTTGGAAGGTTTCAAGGATGCGGCCGCCAATCTTAGAAGAGTCGATATCTTCTTGAAAAGAGTAGGGAACTCTACCGTTGGCAACCTTGCGGCTGAGCCATCAGCCTGTGGTCCCACCCTCGAGGCATTTGCCAACACTGTTCAAGGGCAGGTTCAGGCATTGCGAAGTGTGGTTTCAGCATTGGAGATGAGGGCAGCCAGGGGGGGTGCAGGAATAACAGTTACACTTCTGTCTCTGTCTAACTCGTTATCGAGGGTCTGCGCGAGGGTGGCGATCTTGGATCGGGTGGTAAGTGCAGCTGCACCACCCAGGTGGTTGAAGGAGGACACAGACGGCCTGCTACCTTTGCCGCAGCAGAGACAGGAAGACATGGGGGGCATACTCGCTGCAGAGGCTTCTCACATCCTAACTTCGCTGTATGAGGAAATGGAACACGTCAGTCTCCTTCCTGATGGAGAGGAGATGGCATTCAGGGCAGTCCTTACCCTTTTTGTGGGGTCCATCAGACATATGTTGGATGCCCTGGATGTGTGGCTGAGAGAAGGAGCCCTCATGGACGCTGCTGCAGAGTTCTTCATTGCTGCAAACAGTGCAATCCGGGTCGAGGGTTCGGCATTCTGGCTCCATGGCCTCCTTTTGAGGGGTCCCCAATTGTTGCCATCTACAGCCTCAAGGGGGGCTTCATCATCATCGTCGTCATTGTCATCCCCACCTTACAGCTTGCGACACTCCAAATCGCTAGCTACGAGCCATGGTGCAAGAGGAGTAGGAACGCTGATTCCGCAACGAGTCCCAGTCCCAGCACCCTCGAAATCAGCGACAACACCAACATCCGTAACCACGCGTGCCTCTTCGGATTGCAATTCGAACTCAGGCGGTGGAATGGGGGTGGCAGCTTTGTTGACGTCATCAGGTTGTGCGGCTCATGTGACAAGTGCTGATCAAGGCAACAACTTAAGTGATGGTCAGATGGTGACGACTCTTGGGCGTGGGAATAGTAATCAGCGATCGCAACCTGTGGCGGCACACCCAACAGTAGCAGCTGTAATGACCCGCCAAAGCACAGACTGAGAACACTGCTGATTTCTGGGATTTGCCACTGGAATGAATGCCTTGCCGTGATTCCCGCATTCTGCTGTGTTTT